AAATCGTCAAGAGGTTACCGGGGATTCCAAATGCTATGATGACGCACAGATGCTTCACTAGCGTTTTGTTGAGCTCCCTATGCTTACCTAGAATGTCCTTAAAAATTATGGAGGTGATATCTGTCACGTTCCCTGTGATCGTTTTATCGATAGTTCCAATCATTGCTTATTGAAAATATATCAAAGAATTATTTCATATTTTTGGTTTTTTAATTATAAGATATAAATTTCAAAAAAATTATTATTGGATCGATTTCTTAAAATTATTATATTTTTAAAATATTTTATATCAATTAATTTTTAATTTTTTAAATATTTATTATCATTTAAATATCGCCGTTTTGAAAGAAATCATTTTATGTTATATCGATTTAAAATAAAATAATATATATATTTTATTAAATAAATAAATAAATAGAAATTGTGTCCCATGTATATAATTAAAGGATAATTAATAATTTATATGGTTATTCTTGGAAATAAGTCACAACAAAAAAATCATTTTGTCTCCCAGCTGATCCGTGTTGTTTATATGTTATATTATTTGTCTGGTAGAACCAGCATAGGCTTTTTTTTACTTGATAATAATTTCGGGAATGGTAGAGATAATATTATTACTGAATTGAGTAGGGATAACATGCAGACTTCTTTTAATATTTATACAATTTTGAATAAATTAGGATGTAGGGGACGGATACGCAATGGCTTACACGCGATATGAGGACATTAGCGCAGGGAGATTATCGATAAAACGGGTGGTGCCGTATCAATATCATAAACTCTCCCCCCATGGAATTATAACCAGTAATATTAATATGTTAGGGGCTACAAATTAGAATCGGGATCTCTGTTTTCCTGACATTGAAATCTCTTAGCGATAACTATAAAAATCGTCAAGAGATTACCAGGAATCCCAAAATTCTATGATGACGCATAGATACCTCACTGTTGAACCCCCTATGCTTACAAACAATGCCCTTTAAAATTAATGGATGTTATATCGGTCACGTTCCTTCAATCATCGACAGATTAATATATTAAAATAATATTCAAAGCTTTAGCCTTAATATCAGGTTTAAATTTAATTATAGATATAAATTCTTTCTTTCTTTCTTTCTTTCTTTCTTTCTTTCTTTCAGAAAGTCCTTTATTAGAATACCATAGAACTATTGTGAATGCTCTGATATTTCCGTCATTTGATACATCCGGTATTAAAGGAAAATGGATCACTATATTTTTCATGTCTCAGTTGGCAGGGCCTGTGATTTACATTTGATGTTTGGGCTATATTTTTAAAATCGGGAAAAGTGATAAGTTTGCGATGCAATTGCTTAGAATATAAATAACTAAGCAATTTTATGGGTGATGTGATAGATAAATGTCGCTCTCGATATCGAAAATACAGTTATATTATCGCCCACACATAAATTATTGTTTTTTTTACATCTTTTTGCCTTGATTTTTCACCTTATAAACTGCTCTAGGTTTGATATTAAAATTTTTGTATTGTATATTATAAGAATCGCATTTTAATCATTTTTTGGTTTATCTACCTCTAATCCTTCAATGATGGAATTCGGCGGGTATTTAATTATAAATGCGTTTAAAGGTTATTTGATGTTAAATTTTATTTTTTTTAAAAAAGTATCTTTGTGATTTATATATATATAACTCAAATTAATGGAATAAAAAAAAATAGAAAAGGAAGAGAAATTGTTAAACTTAAAAATTAATCATTTTAACCAATCAAAAATTATAATTTCATTTCAACCAATCAAAAATTATTTAACAAATATAAAAGATGTAAAGTTCTGTTTTTTATTAAAAAAACTTACATCCATTGTGTGCAGATTTTGGACTTTAAATATAAAATAATTTATTTCGCATTCATAAGAAATCATTTTCCAGCAGTGTTGCTAAACCGTTCATTTTGGAGCAGCTTTTTTAAAAAAACGGCTAACTCAATCATTTTATCGGGAAAAAATATTATGCAACCCCTTAAGATTTTGTTTCATAGGTGGCTGGCGCGAAGGTTTGAAACATCTACCAATGAAATTGCGAGGCTTAGGCAATTTTGAACATCTACCAATCAAATCTCGAGGCCTAGGCAATATTTTTCTGGCTAATGTTTCCTTCATTTCTAACGGTTTAGAATAAAGCAACCGTAAAGAAGAATCCCTTTCTATACGCCCTCGTTGTCGGTAACGAAACGCGGTTCCGACTTCAAACTTTGTTCGATTCGAACCGGAAATCCGAACCGTATTTCCGAGTTCTCCGAAGCGCGACTAAATATCGTTTACGTTTCTAGGAGCGATTCTGACTTAGAGGCGTTCAGTCATAATCCCCAGATGGTAGCGTCGCGCCGTCGGCTTTTCAGACGGATGCCTGAACCATGTATGCTCAAGAATTTGGCATCAGGTTTCTGGTTAAACAAATTTTATATTCAAATTTTCTATTTTAAAAAAAAAATTATTGGGAAAACCTACAAATATATTTAATAAAAAAAACATATGGCGGCGAAGGCCTAACATTAACGTTGACGTAATTTTGGCGTAAACACGGTAAAATCATGCGCGCGCATGCGCACGTATAAATATGTAAAAATAAACAGGTGTATACAATTAATTTTTTTTAAATAATTTAATGGCCCCCCCCCTTGTAACGCCGAATTAGGGAATATTTATTTCCAAAAAAATTGAACGATTAATTATTATTGGGTAAATTTAAGTCACTTATACGCCAATCAAAAAAACGTTAAATCTGACCACTTATTTTTTTTTTCTATAAAATCTGAGGAATTTTTTTTATTCGAACCGCTGAAAAAATACGATATTTATTGGAAAAATTATTTTAAAAAAATTAATAAATTTTGAAATCGTGGCCTAAATCCGATCGAGATGGGAAAAAATGTTTACCCCAATCAGATCGATCCGGGTTCGAACGGATTTCGATTCGGTAAACCGGTCCTTGCCTATGATATCTTGTGATCAGTTAACCTGCAAGCCAACCTGATCCTAGCCCCCAACTCATCCTGAAATAATAAATTTATCACAAATAGCTCAACCCAACTCAAGGCTCGGTTGACGGGTTTGGGTTTTTTGGGACAGGTTTGCAGTCAACTAAGTATCTACCTCATCGCATCTACTCACATCTAGCGATTTTTTTTAAAAAAATTGCACCCGTTAAAATTCTAAAAAAATGTTTTTTTCTAACAAGAAATCTGTAATTATAATCCTTTTTGTTTTAAGACCTGCCCAACTCTCATTCCTTACGAGTGAGCAAGTTTTATTTAAAGACTTAACGGTGCCGACCTTCCCTTAAATCTGATTCTAAAGTTTTTTTTATAGACAATACACAATAGCCTTTCATGCAATTAATATGCTTATAGTTTGTTTTTTTAATTAAAAAAAACACCCTTTTGTTCCTCGTGTTTAATAGGAAAAAAAGAATTTTAAGAAAAAATTATTAGTTAAGGGGGATATTGTTTTTTTTTTGCGGGGAGAAAAAAATAAATAAACATTGTATTTTCTATTTTATCATAACTACTATAATCCACATGGAAAATATATTCTGACCAATATTTCATCGCACATTTTTCAATATCAAATTATACATTCCTAGTGTTGTTAAATGGCTTCATTTTGAGCCCCATTTTTAAAAAGTCGGTATTTTAGCCAGAAGAAGTATGACCTAACACTCGTGATTTGGCTAATAGATCTCCAAACCTTTGTTCCATCTACAAACAAAAGTGTTCTGGATGAAATACCCTAACCCTAACGAGCCGTTCAACAACACCAATTAGACTCCCTCAGCTTCGTGAACTTAAACAAATTTAATTTTTGAGAGTATTTTAAATATTCGGTTAAAATAAATTTCTAAGCGCGATTAATTTTTTTTGTTCCGTTTCTTTTCCCATTTCCAATTATTAAACACATTAAGGCGCGAAAAAAAAATTTTTGCCGGTATGCCAAATAAAATATAAATTTTTCGAAAAATTAGTGGTATCGTATGGATATATCATACTAGTGCTATTAAAGTAGCGCGATACTTTTTTTCAGTAGCGGTAGCTCCGCCGCGTTATCTTAAAAAAAATAGCGAAAGCTAGCTACCTTGTCTGCGCATCCATCTTATAGGGGTGGTTATAAATATCAGATATATATCGGATCGGTTTTGAAGCAATATCGGAAAATATCGGATCGGTTTTGAAGCAATATCGGAAAATATCGGATCAGTTTTGAAGCAATATCGGAAAATATCGGATCGGATCGGTGAAAAATATGTGGATCGGCAAATACGTTTCAATCATCAAAATTAATAATTTTATAGCCCTTAAAAAAAATATAAAAAACCTTTTTTAAACTTTTAACATCGGTTAAATTTGCGGATAATAAATGTCATACACGATGATTAAACTTCTGTCTGTATAACTTGTGTAATAAATTGTGAAATGATAAAAAAAATATATATTTAAATTTTAATATTTTGGCGGTTGCGTGAGGTTATAGCTCGCGCTAGAGGCAGAAAAACGATTTTAAAATGGTGGTTTCAAAAAAATGTATCACGCGGCCTAACCCTACGTTCACTGTTAGCGCGAATTCGCGGCGGGGTAATATAAAATATGATATAAACAATGGCGATCTGCATCGGGCCTAATTTCCCAAGTCCGGTCCAGCCCGAAATTTTCGGCCCGGTTTTGTCCCGAAAAACTCGACCCGAAAAAAATTATTGGTCTGCCCGAAATATATTTAAAGAAGGCTTGGGCAGGGTAATGGAACGGGTCATGATTGGCATATCTCTAAAATATGATTTTTTGTATACGCCGTTAATTAGTGCTAACTCGCGAAATGTTTAATTTTTACATCCCTATACTTAAAATGTATCATGATAACTAAAAAATATTTAAATTTTGAATAATAAATTCAGACATACCGGAAATATGAATAATGCTTTCAAATTCTTACTTCCGTCAAAGACAAATTTTTTAAATTCAAGCCGCGACTTTTATTTTTTTATAACACGAATAAATCATATAAATAATTTTTTAATAAATATCGTACATAAAATAATATAACCAATGGATAAATAAAGAAATGGCTAAATTACAAATTTCGTTTTTTCAAATGTTGGAAGAATAATTTTTCAAGATTTTTTTCGAGGATCGATGACAATGTGCAACGTCAACGCGTTAGGTTGATTAATAGCGGTATAACTTTAATAATAAAATATACAAGAGAGAAAATAAAAATTAAAATAAGTTGTTTGTTTATTTAAATTTTTCATTAAAATTAAAATTGACAGAAAAGGTATGATCTCCCTCCCCCTTATGACAAAATCTCGATTCGATATTTTATTAGTGATATAAACGAACACTTCCCAGAAATCCCGGCATTTTTTGCTGGTTCCCAATCCTGGACTCTTCTTTTTAGAAAAATCTTTTATTCCTGAATTCGTAACCAGAAGGGCTCCCTGATAAATGATAGTAGTAAATTGAATGGCAAAAGATAAAAGTTACTAAATTAAAGATTCCTATTTTAAATAAAAACTTTACCATCTGATATAATATTTAGGGGAGAATGATGTTATAATAATAGTAAAACTTTAGCTAATCTATATTTTTTAAAAAAAAACCACATTACCAAAAGATGACACTTTTTTTATTTAAAAATTTCAAGGGGAAGATGGGGGGGGGGGGTTTAAGCACAAAAAAAACGATTTCTTAGATTATCAACAAATAAGTGTAAAAAAAATATTCATTACATCTCGCCCCTTTTTAAAACCATTCATTCATTTACGGATATAAAAAAAAATGGCGGTTGCAATGTGGCAATAATCATATTACGGTCAACTATTTCCCCCCGAAAGATATGAATGAATGATAACCTAGTGCCTCGAGGAACGATAAGAACATCCTTTTTCTTGAGTGCGTGCTTTTGATTATCGTCGTTGTAGGTAAAGTCACAGGAACCCATGTATTGCCACACGAAGATATCCGCTGCGTTGTTCCTGCCTATGTGCTCTCCTACCCCGTACACCAACACCTAATCATTTAAAAATGATAAATTAAATTCGTAAATTTTTAGTCTCAGCCAGGAATATTCTCGAAATCAGCTGACTTATTCAATGGTGGAAAGGTTTTAATCGCCTTTTTTTAAAAAAAAAATGGGCTTCATACGAATATTCGAAATTGGGGAGAAATGAACAAGAGTGGCATATACCTTGACTTGGTAATCGTCCTCGTCGAACAAGGAAAGACAGCCTCTTTCGTTTATTTCGTTCTTGTGCCTATCTACCCAAAGATCCAACGCCACTGGTGGGTGGATGAAATCTTCTAGATCATCGCAGGGCGGGTAACCTGTAGATCCGTCATGCCTTGAACCTTAGAAAATTATTATGAATGATAAAGGATTTTACTTCTTCTTTCTCCATCACAATGTTGTTAATCAAAGCTGAACCTTTAAATAAGCGGGGTGTTTGGACCGACCACCTTAGGGAATTCGCTTAAAATTTTATATTTATAAACCTAACATGCAAGTTTAACTAGAGAGTGGTTCAATCTTATATTTTTTTTGGAAACATAAAGGATTCTAAGTATGAAAAATGACCTATTATTTTCAGGTTTTTAGATTGTGTCGTTGCGTCAAAGATTTACTAAATAAAATTAGACAAATTAAAAAAAAATAATGATTCTAATTAGAGATCCGCAAAAACTAAGCCCGAACCCGGCTCGTTTTTTAAAAAAATTCGGGCCGGGTCGGGTCGGTTAAACTTTTTTAAAAAAAATCCGGGCCGGAATCCGGGCTCGAAAAATTAGGCCCGATGCCGACCACTAATTCTAATATTTAAAATTCAAAAAAAAAAATTTAAGAACCTAATTTCAAAATTTTTCGAATCCTTCTTATAAGAAAAATAATTTGTTTACCCCCAAAATTTAAAAAAAAAAAAAATTACAATAGGCAGATGTCACCGATTACCAATCTTAATTTTTGTATAACAAAAACTGGAACGCCAAGTTTTCGTTTTCGTGATAAAAAAAATAAATAAAAATCGATAAAAAAACACTATTATGATATATAATTAATTGTTTCTAAATATTATTTACAATGTTCATTTTAAAGAATCTTACAAAACACATATTTTAGGCTGCATTCAAAGCGTGGAGAAAGATCCGCTTTTGACATCCGTTCCGTCAAATGTCATTGCAAATGATATATATGTTCATATCGCATCCGTTCCGATACCTTCCTTCTTAAGAAAGGGATCCGGCAAATAATTCTGAAGTCAAAACATTTCGACTTCTCGATCCGGCAAATTTTACAGAACGTTATTATAACGCGCTACTCGTAATTGTTTAAAAATGAAAATCAATATATATATCATTTTTAATGATGAGATTGACTTTTGGCGGCACGGACGTAAAAAAGTGGGTCAGTCTCCACTTTGAATGCGGATATAACAATTGGTTAACCAAGAAAAATATTTATTTAAAAACCATCTCCAGCTACATAATTTTTTTTTTTTTGCAAAGATACGTGTCTTAAATAGTGTAGTTAAACGGCTCGTTTTGAGCCGATTTTTAAAAAAGGGCTAAACCCCAATATTTTATCCAGAAAAATATTACGCAAGTCTGAAGATTATGCTCATAGAAGGAACAAAGGTCTAAGCATATATTAAGAAAAATCTTGAGGCTTAGACCCTATTTTTCTGGATAAAATATTGAGTTAGCCGAGCCGTTTAACAACACTATTCCCTAGTATTTTCAAGTGTTTTTTTATCTCAATCATTTTTTGAAGGTGTTTTTTTTTTGAAAAATTATTCGCGAACTTTAAAGTTAAAATTTGATTATATATATAAAAAAGAATATTTTGTACGATGAACAATTAACTAGAAGAAAAAAATAATAATAATTAATTGTCATTTTGAAAATCTGGTTTTTTTTAATGGATTTTCCTAGTGGAGGTAAAAAAAAATAGTTTGATTCTGGATTGAAGGAAAAAAAATATTATTTTTAAATTAGAATAAATCCCATAACCTTTTTTATGTAAGAATTAGGAGTTGTTGCTTAGAATTTTTTTCTAATTGATGCGATGATCCCTGAAGATCTTCAAAAATATAAGTGCTAGAATGCTAAAAAATTAAGGCTTTTAGTTATCGTGAACTTTAGTAAAAAAAAAAAAAGATTTAGAATCCCAGCTAGCACCCGGATGAACCAAGATCGATTTTCCCGTTAATCGATTGCAGGATTTTTTTTTATAAATTTGAGCTTTAGAGAGAAAAATATAGGCTAAACTTAGGCAACCAATAACTCGGCCACCCACTTAGAAACCTCACTAGCATAGAGATAAGTGGTCTGTGAAGCCCGTTCTTTGAGGATATTTGGAAAAAAGGATTTTCAACCCAACCCCCATAAATTCGTTTCCTGGGCGGCCATATTTAGATATGAGTACGAAAGTTTAAAAAAAAAGAGAGACATAGATTTAAAATTTAAAGCCTCAAAAAAAAGTTTGAGAAATCGACCCTTTTAAGGATACTTTTTGTCCTATCCTTGCCCTAATATATCAATCATATCAGTTACTTTCGTCAGTCATATGAGCGGTATCGTGTGGTTCTCCAGATTCGCCAATTTTCCTGATTAATAAATTTCGAATTTTAAAAAACTACAAATGAAAGGTAAAAAAAAACTAAATAAAAGCTAAGAATAGTTTTATTATAACGGTGTAGTATTTTCGGCAAAGCTTGAATCAGTTCTTCGAATTAGATTCTTAGTCCCAATCCTAAAATTTGAAGCCAATATATTGAGGGATCCAAAATCTGGTTCAAAACTCTATTACAACATTCAACCAAAAAATACCCTCTAAAATGGATCGAATTTAAATTCCGACTTCAGGACACCAATAAGTGAAGAGAAGAAGAAAAAAAAATAAATGTATTATGAAGTTACTTGATAGCCCCCCTGCCTTTCAGAACCTGTAGCGCGTGATTTAGGTCCCTGAAATTGTTGAAGCAGTGGAACCAGGTCTGGGCTAACGGTTTCATTTTAGGGCCGGGAGTGCAGTGATAATTTTCGGCGTTGCTTATGATGGAAGGGGATCGTTTTTTGAGGGCCGTCAGTGGAACGAAGGGCTGACCGGAAATGGAGAAGGGGATTATTCTGGAATTGGCTGGGGACGAGAATTCGGAGTTTTCCGGGATAACCATGGACATCAGGTTGGTGGGAGGATGGAGACAAGGACCCGGTTTTGTATCATTTCTTTTTTTGGGGGTGGCCGGGAGTGGGGTGGGGGGGGTTAATGATTAAAAAAATATATATACGCCATTTTTAACATGCAATATGTAGAAAATAATTTTTTCGACCACGTCATCATTGAGAAGATCACGCGATTCGGTGTTGCTATATCCCGTGAATGACCAGATTTTCTCAATTTTTAAAGAAGTTTTAAAAACATGTTTTTTTAAAAAAAAATAGAAAGCATTACGCGAAGATTTCGGATTCTAAATCATTATCGGGCAAGTAAAAGTCGACATTTTGAGAATTGCTATTTCCGGTTACATCGAGATCCGGTTTAGAGTCCATGATGTTTTCGTGGCTTTTGGAGATGATGGTATGGGACGAGGATCCGGTTAGTTTGTACCCGGTAGACCCGGTTTTAACTGCGTACCCGACTTCGGAATCCGTTACGTCGGGTTTAAATGATTCGATCGTTTGATTATGGCTAAGATCGGAAGTGGTAGAATTGTCGATAGTGTACCAACTTATATTTAATATAAATACAAAGAGGTATTTTAACTTTAATAAATTAATTTTTCTTTTTATCCTGACGTTTCTAAGATGTTTATTTTTCGTTAGATCTGTTTTTTGATGAACAGTTCGACAAGTAATTGACATTAGTTGAATATAATAAAAAAAAGAATAGATTGATGCTGACGAAAAGTTAAAAACCGCCTTAGTGCTTTAGTAAGCGCGAACTGCAGCCGCTCGAATGATGAGTGATATTTACGAAATAGTGTCAAATTAAGACAGCTACGCTAACGTTTAGCGATAAAATACGCTTCACTTTAAGCGCCTTCGCGTTTATTATAAACGAGGTTTTTAAACGCGATGTTCAACTAAAAAATAATAGCGGTAAAAACTTAGGGTTCGTTTTATAGTAAGCGCGAAATACGGAAACGTCACCCAATGGGCGCGTAATTTAATTTATCGCTAAACGATACATTACGTAATTTTGTGCCATATCGCGAGAGCGACGCGACATAGCGGTACTTCCCTCTCAACATAAACGAGGCTAAGTTGCGTATTTTGATTACTTCCCGAGATCTAAGCTTACCCCCAAAACTTTTTATATTTCGCGAGGATTATTTTGTTATGCCTAATATATTTATATAGGTTGTATAAAATTATTAAATTTTATTGGATAAAGAAAAAAAAAATTTTTTTTCTTCAAATTCCAAGAAATAATAAAAAAATAAAAACTATATCATATTACAAATAAATGATATGAATTAATTTTTTAAAAAAATTTAAATTAAAAAAAATAATATATAAAATAAAATATAATTTAAATTTTGTAAAAAAAAAAATATCTAAAAAATATCGATTTAAATTTATTTTCGAAATTAAAAAAAAAATACAACAATAAAAAAGCGAAATTCCAAAAATGTCTCGTTTGTCATTATTATACTACGTTTGAAATAAATAGAATTTATGGTTTAAGCACCAATGACATATAATAATACCTAGACTGACGATTCATTCATTAAAAGTGTACATCAATACAAATCAGCTAGAGACGCCATCTTGGTTACTGTAATAAATATTAAAATTTTAAACGAGAGCCTAATTTTATATTATATCTGATGCAAACTTTATTAAAGAATTGCCTGATCATCGAGATAATAAGGAAGCAAGTTATCAATTTAATAGTAGTTTTTAACATGAGAATAATTACTATATATGTTACCAAAATGGCAGGTCCAGCTGATTTGTTTTAACGACGCTTAAAAATGCATTTTAATGAATGAATCGTCAGTCTAGGTATTATTATATGTCATTGTTAAGCACCCTATTTTAAGCGCCATATTATAAAAATACGCCATTATCGGTTCCATGATCGCCATTTTTCCTCAATTAAATGACCGCTTCAAAAAAAAATTTTTTTTTTAATTAAAAAACCTGAGATTATCCATCTCGTTAGGCAAGCGTTCCCGTTCCACCATGAGAGCCGAGAGATTGTGACATCTTCTGACACAGTGCAATATCCGAGATGGCAACAGAAATATCTGGCGAAAAAAAAAATTAGTCAAAATTATTCGTTAATGTTCCCCCATTTCCTTCTTTTATTTCATGGGTTTCGATTGACATATCGGTTCGGTTAGGTTCGGGTAAAAATAACGGTTCAGGTTCGATAAAAATACCGGGTTATAGCGGTTTAACCGGTTCGGTTCGGATCCCTTGAATATATAAATAAACAAACCCTCCGTCCCCGCCCCCTTAACACATACATACATACACAAAGGTTATAAAAGTTATATATAAATATCAGAGTTGTTAAAGGATCTAGATACAAGTATCTAAATCCTGTATCTAGATATAAAAATCTGGTATCTGTGCCATTTTTGATTAAAATATCTCTATCTAGATATTATTTTACACGATGTATCTGTATCTAGATCCATTTAAAAAAGTATCTTTTAACAACTCTGATAAATATATGTAAATGAAAATATTTGCAATTTATCGATCCTAAATGTGTAACAAAAAAAGAAAAATATTAATTTAATTACATATATAAAAATGTAGTTAGTCTATTAAATATTTTTCTTTCGTTAAAAAAAAGGGGATGACCTTGACTGTGGACTAAGGCTAATCATCGTAAGATAAATTTAACGTTTCTCGAAAGAATGAATGGTTCTAACTGCTAATTCGATGTAATATTAGGGGGGTAGTAGTTTCTAATTTAAGGATAATACTGATATACCCGAGTCTAAAACCGGTAACAAATTCTGCTATCCGTAAAACGGAAAGCGAATACTGCTATCCGAACTAAAATGGGTATCAATTTTTTTTTCTTAAAAAACAAAAAGAGAAGATATTGATAAATTAATCAATATTATCTTACAAATAATTCGCGAAAAAAGACATGTGGGAGGGGAGTTAGCTCACCATTTTTTTCTTTCCTTGATATATAAGTAATTTAAAATGAATCATTATTCTTTATCAATTCAGAACTTAATGAGGTTAAGTATCATTTGTAAGTTTAAAGGCTAACTGATATCGGTTAAAACGATTTCCGCCAATTTCAATGACACATATAATACCTAGACTGACGATTCCTTCATTAAAATGTCATTTTTAAGCGTCGTTAAAAGCAAATCAGCTGGAACCGCCATTTTGGTAACACATGTAGTAAACTATCTCTCATGTTAAAAACTACTATTTATTACCTCGATGATCCGGTAATTCTTTAATAAAGTTTGCGTCAGATATAGGAATAAATTAGGCTCTCGTTTAAAATTTCGATAATGATTACAGTGTAACCAATATGGCGTCTCCAGCTGATTTGCATTGATGTACACTTTTAATGAATGAATCGCCAGTCTAGTCTAGGTATTATATATGCCATTCGCTAATTTACGATTGAGAAAGGCGTTCATTTTTTCTTCTTCTTTAAAGATGATCTTAAAATCATCTTTCCTTTATGCGTCGTAGAATATGATATAAATACCGTACACGATGTGTATGTTTGTGATCTGCATCGGGCCTAATTTTTCAAACCCGGCCAGAAATTTTTTTTATAAAGTTTTATCCGACCCGGCCCGAACCCGAAATTTTTTTTTATAAAGTTTTACCCGACCCGGCCCGAACCCGAAATTTTTTTTATAAAGTTTTACCCGACCCGGCCCGAACCCGAATTTTTTTTTATAAAGTTTTACCCGACCCGGCCCGAACCCGAATTTTTTTTAATAAAGTTTTATCCGACCCGGCCCGAACCCGAAATTTTTTTTAAAAAAGTTTTATCCGACCCGGCCCTCACGAATTTATTTAAATATAGAAAATTAATTCTTATAATTACTCAAAATAAACGATATATGTTTTTAATATTTCTACTTGTTATAAAAATATTACAAGATGAAAATTGGTCGGTTACTTTTAATTTATTTTTATTTTACTTTTTACAACAAATATATTTATTATTTTTTTGTCTTACTTTAATTTCTTCTTTTTTAAAACATACACCAATTTTTCTTTTTCAATAACTTCTCTCAACCAAAAAAAATCAACAAACAAATTTTCTTCCCAGAATTAATAACGAAAATTTTTCCAAAAACCCGATAACTAACTTTTTATTATTTTTTTTTCTTTTTATATTCACAATACAACTTAATAATAATAATAATACTAATAATATAATAATATTTTTTTTAACAAAACGATTGCGCAAAATAATATAATATTGAATTAAAATAATAATAATAATATACTGAGGTACACTAATCCTATTTAAAACAAATAACTACAATTAACTTCTTTTAATGACTATATTATAATTATACTATCAACTATATTATAATTTAATATCCCCAAACATCACACTTCCCCCTTTACATAAAACCAGAGTCCCCGTCATCTTCATCCTCATCCTCCGACAGGATGAACTCCAAAAGGTGTTCCAGCTCCCAGTCTTCCATAGTCATTCCGTTTCGTTCCCCTACTCCAATCTCTCCCAGCTGCATGAGCTCTCCCACGCCAGGCTTTCACCCGGATCCGTCATGGTTTCCACCACCGGTAATGAGTTGTTATAATTCTGGAAAACCAGGTCATATGCTCAGAGAATGCCGTGAGGCAAAATGTTTTGGGTATGGAAAGTTAGGACATACAGCTCCGTATTGTCCAAATAAGCAGGAGAGATCAAGATGTGCGGATTGTGGTCGATTTGGGCATAATAAAGGAGAGTGCAATACGAGCAATTACAATAATAAAAGCGGTTTTCCACAAAGAGAAATTGGTCCCAGTGCTTCAAATGTGAGGACAACTGAGCGGGTGGAGTCGAGTAGGGAGGAACAACTAGGAACAAATGGGCAGACGATGCGTGACCGAAGATCAGAAGTCCGAGAAGAGGAGAATGCGGAGGAGCCGGAAGTTAACGGGGAACGGGTGCAACTAGCGTTGGAGCAAATGAGGGGAGCGGTGGTGGAAACCATGACGGATCCGGATGAAAGCCTGGCGTGGGAGGAGCTCATGCAGCTGGGAGAGATTGGAGTAGGGGAACGAAACGGAATGACTATGGAAGACTGGGAGCTGGAACACCTTTTGGAGTTCATCCTGTCGGAGGATGAGGATGAAGATGACGGGGACTCTGGTTTTATGTAAAGGGGGAAGTGTGATGTTTGGGGATATTAAATTACAATATAGTTGATAGTATATTTATAATATAGTCATTAAAAGAAGTTGATTGTAGTTATTTGTTTTAAATAGGATTAGTGTACTTCAGTATATTAGTATTATTATTATTATTAAGTTGTATTGTGAATATAAAAAGAAAAGAAAAAATAATAAAAAGTTAGTTATCGGGTTTTTGGAAAAATTTTCGTTATTAATTCTGGGAAGAAAATTTGTTGTTGATTTTTTTTGGTTGAGAGAAGTTATTGAAAAAGAAAAATTGGTGTATGTTTTAAAAAAGAAGAAATTAAAGTAAGACAAAAAAATAATAAATATATTTGTTGTAAAAAGTAAAATAAAAATAAATTAAAAGTAACCGACCAATTTTCATCTTGTAATATTTTTATAATATTATAATTTAACATCCCCATACATCACATGTTATATGGCGTCTACTTTCTATAAATAAAATCACATATTTTTATTTTACATAAAAAAATTCAACATAAAATCGATAAATTTAATATTTTAAAAAAATTTTAAGGCCCGACCAGGCCAGGCCTACATTTGCAGATCTGTAGTGTATGTATTATTACTTAAAAAAAATTCCTAAATTTGAAGATTTTAATTATAAAATATTCGGAATTTCTAAATTAAGAATTTTATCATTCTTGTGTAAAGAATTCCAACAACTCTGGGTAATATTTTAGACAATTTTTAGGTCGTTAAATTTCGTCAAAATCTGGGGGATCCCAAATGAATACTATTTTTTTTTATCTTAAAACAGTAAATTTCGATGACAGTATGCCAATCAAATCTAGTCTCCATACATGGTTCGATACTTGCCATGATCAGTATGTATCAGAGACCTGCAGAGGTACAAATTGCACGACCAGTCCCGGACCGACATGCCCCGGACTTGTGAATTTTAGGTCACTATTATTAAATATATGCCTGGTTATTTTTTTTAAAATTTATATTTAAAACAATGAATAATTGTGGATTATAAAAGTTTACATCCACTAGGAAAAAAAAATATCGGGTAATCCAAAATATGTCAGTATTGTAACAGAAGGAATAAAACTCTTTTTTAAATAGTCTATTTTTCGGGTCGAGGCAGGTTGAATCGTAAAAAATTAGTCCCATGCAGGTCTCTGATAGGCATAATATACGCATGCTCAAATACAATCCCGGTAAAAATCAAGTTTTTTCCAATATATCCCACATTATATCTCTCAGGAATTATGTTCCTAAGGAAGAAAAAGATTCGTAATAGTCTGTTTTTATTTGTAAGTGAATATTCATGAAGTGTCAATCATCAAAGGAATAGTTTCGAGAGGAGATGAAGGTTACACGGATAGTAGGGATAATGACGATGATTCTATTTTTTGGCGAATTATTTTGTAATGTATGTTTTCCCTTTTCAACGCGGTTAAACAGAATATAATTCCTTTATTAACGCGCATGCGCGTGCGAATCAATCCTCCTCGAACAAAGTCTTCGAAAAAAAAGTTTTCGAACCGGAAGTTGCGCGTTAAATAAATATTTAGCAATCGATGTATGGCCTAAATAATTTTATTTAATCATGTTTACCACCTATTTTATTTTACACGAAAATATTTTCCCCCCCACAAAACTTCCTCGAATTTATTTTTTTTAAAAAAAAAATCATTTATTTTATAAAAATAACGATATTTCGATCAAAGCTAAAATAGAAGGTTAATTCTTCGTACAAATCATACATTTCGAGGAAAAAAAAAGGAGATAAATAATCATATTTTTACACGTTTCACTCAAAATTACAATTTATCATTAAAAAAAAAAATTTTTTTAAGGAAAAATATTGACGAGACAAGCTATGATATCGATTCTAACATGCCACATTTCAACCCGTTTTACCTAATAGGAACCCCTCGACAGCTGACTGGCCACTCGGGTTTGTAACGATCGGTAAAATATGGGGTCGGTTAGAAAAAATATTTGTTCTTCCCACTTTTCTTTTTAAGAATGATTGAAAACTATCATAAAAATGATGATATCGAGTGTTTAAAAAATGAAACAAAAATGCCATCTATTTTTGTTAAAAAATATTCATTCATTTATTTTTTTTAAAAAAAAAATCAATAACTAAAAACAATAATTTTAAAAAAAACCTATGGCTGGTCCCCAAATTTAAATTTTTCCTTACATATTGATACAATATAAATGGATAAATAAAATATTTAAATTCATCGAGGAAAGTCGGAAAACAAACAAGAAACACCCTAAGCTTTCAGATTCAAAATTTATATAACTTTTAAAGTCGCGACAAATCATTATTTTATGAAAAAAATCCTTAATATTTTAATAAGAAAAAAAGACCTTAAATAGCCTTACAAAAAGATATCTTGTCACAATTTTCTTTTTAAAAATCGTAATTAATTTTCGAAAAAGAGGCCATTTTTTGGCACTTTTTGAATAATGTTATCTCGGTACGCAAAAATTTTTTATCTAAATGTTAAAAAAAGGATCGAACCCAAAAATGTAATCGATCTGGGTCACATGGAATTTACACTCCACTCCACCAGAAATATAAGTGTAATTTACATTACATTACTATTATATAAGAATATAATTAACAAAATTATTAATCGTCATTTAACCTGGGTCTTTATAAATGCGTTACTTTTTCTTTTTTTTTTTAAAGTATAAAAAAGGTCATGGTTGCATTATGATAAAGAATAATAATGGCTTTTTATTTAATATTTTAATATTTGAAAATTTATGATAATATATAAATATAATATTTTATTAAAATCTAAATTATTATTTATCTTTAAATGATGAGAAGGGAGATGAAACAGACTTTTCATGATATTGCCAAATTAATTTTAAAAAAATCTATATTCTTAGATGAAAAAATGGATTTATTGAAATTAAAATATTTTTTTATAGTAAGAGAGAGAGAGAGCATATGGATAATTAGAGTTCGAATATAAGTTCAATTATTGCCATTTTTTTTTTAGAAATATAAATCAGGGACCAGGGGCTGATGGCCACACACACACATTAATAGGACAACTCACAGGTGACCCTTAAAAAAAATGCTGATTTTGGGGGCTATCACTAAGACCTCTTTCTAATGTTCACTAAGATAATAAGGATTAATCACGATTAGACGAAATATGCATTATCTTAAAAATTTCTCACATTCGGTAAGATTGTTAGAGCAATGTCCTCTTAATCAGACATAATATGTGTGGTGGTGTAGGTATCTTAATTTTCCAGATGCTGGGAAATCCATACAGCAACGGATTTCTTAAAACTTCTTCTTTACAAAATTAAAAAAACGGAGCTAACATAAAATTATTTTGAGGGCTAGAAAATTGTAAATGTAAATAATATATAAGCAGCCATGTATATTTTTTTTTAAAAATTTGAAGATCTGAAATGCCGAAAATTACATTCCACTAGGAAAAAAAAGAGTTTTTTTCAAACAAATAATAAACAAATAAATAAATTCTTTATTTGATTTTTTTATTAAATTTTAGATAATAAACTAATTATTATTATTTTTTTCTTCGAAGAATAAATTTTGATCATTGACCGAACCCTATTTATGCGAAATAAATCTTTTAAGTTATTTCCCAATTTGTGCACTAAAATTGTGTCGATTTGAAGGGTATAATATTAAGATCAGCTGATAACATTGAACGCCGACTGGTATGGCGTAAAGAAACGTCGCGTTTCTAAATCTTTTAAAAACACTAGAAAGAAAAGAGTCACTCGTATTAATTGTTACAATCATGCTGAACCATAGCCGGACCCGATTTGAGTCGATTTTTAAAAAATGGCTAACTCAATATGGCGGAAAACCTGAAGATTTTGCTTAACAGATGGTACCAGAGGTCTAGAACATCTATCCGTTCTGCCCAAAATATCGAGTTTTTATAAAATTTGTTGAATTTTGATTGGTCCTCTTTTTTTAAAAAATTAAGTATAACACCTCAGAATCTTGTATTCCACCGATGGAACGCCATTGCTAAATTAAGGGCCATAACTTCACAATTTTTTTTCTCTCCAAGTTTGTCTAAAGATCCAAAAGGTTGTAGCCTATTTTGATGAACTAAAGTTTCTAATTTTTTGCCAAGCTTTATAATTCAGCAAATCTAGATTCGAGAGCCTAGTTTTGGGAGAGGTCACTTTAAAGCTGGCAGGACTGTAAGAATACCCAACTTTTTCATAGGGCGCCTAATTTTTTTGATATAATTTTTGTTTGTCAGTATAAGATCTTCTTTTTGTTTAGCGGCTTTAATTCGCAAATATATCATTGGATTTTTTTGGTGGGTGTTAATAGAATGCATTTAATAATCAGATTGTGTTCAATAATAATAACATAACCATTTTGAATATCTACCCAACATTGAAAATAACTAATTTATTTTTTATTAGTCAAATTTTAACATTAGTCAAATATGAGTATTGCTTAAGTCAATGAGTATGCATTGTTCAAATATGAGTATTGCTTAAGTCAATGAGTATGCATTGTAGTGATGGTAATTGTTTAAAAATATGGTAGATGGAGGGAGGGGAGGGGGGTTACTACATTTTATAATATTATCGATAAATAGGAATAATTTTTTTTTATTCATATCATTATATTTTAAAAATAATGTAAAACAAATTTAATACCACTAATATCTATACAAATTTAAATATATAAATCCATGTATCTTTCATTTCTCCGTTTTCTTTGGCCTGTAATCTTTTCTTTTAAAAGATTTCATTTACCCATGATTGTTGTTTTTTCATTTTCGATACATGGATCTCATTCATATATATGAATATATAAGTATCCACACAGTAAAGTAATTTCTAAAAAATTTTATTATGAATATCTTCTTTTCACTTAATTTGAATCTTTGCCAGATTCTTTCATTTTACTATTAGCCAAATCCTGCAACCTTAAGGTCATTTTCTATCAAAGAACTTCTCTCCTTTTTAAAGTTATCCATTAGATGTGGGACTGTATATGATGCTTTCTAGAGAAGTACCATATTTGTTGGTTGTGAAACTCATTCTATTCTTTAAATCAGGGATGAGAACCCGAACCTAAACTCTCCAGAACCCTCAATATTTAGCCGAACCTAAATCCGAACTCTTTTTTAAAATTTAGGGTTCAAGGTCCAAGCTTTTTTTTTAAAAAACTTTATTTATTTTTATTTTAAACTTTCATTTTATTTATATAATATGTTAAAAATAATATAAAAAAATATTTAGGATTTTCATTTTATAAAAGATTTTCTATTTAAAACAATTTTAAAAAAAATATTTTTTGTCGTGGAATCTTTTTAAGAGTTGGTCATTTTTTGTAAAAATTTCCAAAATTTTACCCCGTAAAAGCAGATTTTAAAAATTTTTTTATAAAAAAAGGATAATATATAAAAATATCTATTTTAGGATATTGTTGTTCGTATTAGTAAGATAAAGAAAAATACAATCACGTGTTAGTAAGATAAAGAGAAATATAATCACAAATATATTATAATTATGATAAATTATTTTTATGGCACTAATTAAAATAATTTTTTTTTAAAAAAAAAAGAAGATGTTTCTGTTATTTTAAGTTATTTTAAATAAGTCATTATTTTACTGGTCTCCAAACCCATTTTAAAGAGGGTTCACATCCCTGCTTTAAATAAAGCAGAAACAGTGGTGACTTGTAAAATTGATATTAAAATAATAAAACTAAAAGGGGGAAGCTCAGCTCCTAAAAATTTGGAAAAGGGGCTAAAAATCAAAAAATATAATAAGGGGAGGGGTTTAGCTCCCATCAAAGCATAAATTTATATGATAAATTACATCTCTAGAGACATTAGCCAATTAAAATTCAAAAAATGTGCTCAATAAATTATTAAAAGTTGGTAGATAGCATAACTATTTGCTTAAAATACTTTTTTGCATTGTAATAATCTAATTTTGCCAAAATAGAAATATTAATGTTAAAAAATAAGTGCAATCTATATAAATTAAATTACACTTGAATTAATATTATTTATATTAGACAATTAATAACTTGTACATATAAAGCATAAGTAGTTAAAAATATTTAAAATAACCTGCTTATATTTATTGATATTATAATGGCATATTAATAATAAATAAATCTTAGCTACTACAATAGAGATTTATTTATAAAATACAATTATTTAATAAATAAGTATCTATTTTATATTTATGTTCAATATTTATAAAAATATATAAACCTCTCCTTCCATAATATGAATATCCTTTGAAATTCCACTTTTATCTAAACACCTTAAGACCAATTCTCCCTTAAATACATAATATAATTCTTCGGCTTCTTGCATGTGAAAATAATTTCGTTCATCATGTTCACCAATATAATAAATTTTAATTTGGCTATTATCTTTCCTAAGTAAAAATATTTAAAAGTTCATAAGATATTTTTTACATCAATTTGTATTGACTTTCGGAGCATTTATCAGTGACACTATTTACATCAACCCAGTTTTGAAGATTATGTACGATTAAACTTTCATTTTCACTACTGTTCATTTTGAATTTCTGAATTTATCATAAAAAGTGATTTGATTTAACAGAATCAAGACATGTCGAACGTTATTATTTGTCAGAAAATTGACAAGACACAATATTACATTTAAATATTTTGTAGTTATATTTTATTTGCCACGAATTGTTATTTAATTAAGCTTAATAAAAGTATGTAAATATAAATATTGTGAAAAATTGCATGTTTAAAATATTTTATCGTAAGGTAAGAAAAATAAATAAGGTGGCCATATTTTCTTTTAATTATAAACATTTTTAAGCTATTTCTCTAATAGTTTGGAATTACCTCACTATGGACAATTTTAATAAGAAGTTAGATACTAAATCACTCACCCAAAACACAGATATTATGTAGATAACATCCAAACTAAATCTCAAGCACTATCTGTCATGATTTATCCAAAGAAGGATATGAAATTTATTAATGAAGTTTCGTCCCAAAACCACATTTTACCTACTTTTGGTCAGCCCACAGCGCTTCAGATAACTTTTTATTAGGTAATTTTAATTTTCCCGGAGCTCCGCTTTATTATTTATTAAAATATATATACTTATTTCAAATAATTAACTTTTTGAAGTAAACGTAATTATTGTCGTTTGAAATTTTTTTGCATATGTATTTAATAAAATGATTTATTTTAACAGATAGAAATTAAAAAGATTATTTATTTTATTACTCGTCAATTTTTATGATCTAATTTATTTTAAGAGAATAAAAAGAGAAAAGGATATCATATTAAATTATTTAAAGGATATCACTATCGGGAGCGACACTCCTAAATTTTGAATAAAATAATCCTCGTTCTCCGATGAATTCTACTAGAGTATTCATTCGTTTTTACAATAACAAAATAATATCTTTAAATATTCGTTAAAGTTCGTTAAACAAGTGGAAGCCCTATTTCTATAATCCATCACCCACTATAAAGGGAAAAATTAAAACAAAATATTGACCGAACATCAAATTAAAAGGTGACTTAATTATTCTGAAAGTTGATCTGTTTAGTAATTAATTGTATATTTTCTGAATTCATTTGGTAGACAATATATAATGAGAAGTTATTGGTAAAATAAAATTATAAAAGCACACAGTATCGCTTGCACTTACTAATTTATCAATCAGCTTTTACAATCAATATTCAGAAATAAGTTTTAAAAAAGATAAAAACTATAATGGTCTTGGGGTCTCTTATATCGATTTTTAAATTGCGATTCAAATTATTATGGCCGATTAAAAATACTTTCAAATCTTATTATTATCCTACAACCTTTATAGATACAGTTGTTTTTTTTCGGTTTATTTATCAGGTATATAAGTAAAATAGTTAAAATCTCATTATATTTTTAGATCGGGATATATTCAAATTTAATATGAATCTAAGTCTCATATTAAATTGCAGTCTTAAAGAAGGCTTGCCGAACTTTTAAGGCACTAAAACATTAAGGCCCATATGTAATACTGTATTTATTTTAGTTTCGTGCTTTATTCAAAAAAAATTTATTGCCCATAGAAAATTGGTACCAAGATTAAAAGAGAGTACAAAATTATGGAAGCACTAAAGCAATTATAATGACGATGTTCGCTTGTTTTGTTAACGCGGATTATACAATGATTTCTATTTTAACATTCGCGTAGTTATTTTATGTAAAAATATTTATTTTTACTAAATAGTTTAATTGTAAAATTCGTTGCGATTAGGGCTTTATTATTTGTAAATATTATTTTATTTATTTTTTATTCATAATCCAACATATTAAAAAAATTTAAGGATAAAGGCTAAATATAATAAGTAATTCGGCTATATCTTCTGAATAAGGACAATAATATGATGAATTAGAAAAGTTTTTAAGGTCCAAGAATAAAAAGAAAAGAAAAGCATAGCAAAATTTACAAAAAAAAGAGGATAATATTCTTTCAACTATAAAATCTGAAAAATTTGCTAGAATACTAAGGAATCCGATAAAATTAAAAAATCCTATCCTGACCCAAATCACATTAGCAACTCCATGTATGGGAATGCAAAAATAACACTGTTGCGGCAACCTGAATATAAAAACATAATAATTTTATCGAATCTATTTTAATTGTAAAAAATCGTGAAATCATAAATATTATTAATCTGAAACTTTAAAAAATATTATATTAGAACCGAATTCCATGTATTCTTAACCTTTCTTTCTTTCTTTCTTTCTTTCTTTCTTTCTTTCTTTCTTTCTTTCTTTCTTTCTTTCTTTCTTTCTTTCTTTCTTTCTTTCTTTCTTTTTTTCTGTCTTTCTTTCTGACCTGATTTCGAAAATAAAATTATTTGACTCTCAAAAAAATTTGTTATAATATAACATTATTTATTTATATATGTATATAATCTTTTATCAATTTTTTTTGTAAATTTAAGAAAAAATATGGAAATTTTCTGAGTTAATTCTGCACAAAACTGTTAGAAGATTTTTTTTTCTAAAAAATTATAAAAGAAATAAAACTTAGAATATTTAATGAAAAATTGAAAGTTTACTAAAAATTAGACATTTCATATATGTTCCTAATACTTTTTTTTTGGTACTTTTAGTTGTGGAATCTAATGATAAATTAAAAAAAAAATTATGCGAGATAAAAAAAATTTGGAGCCAATTTTGACGTAAAGGAGTGATGGCTGAATCCTTAGCAATGAAGTTCAAATACTACTAGATTGCCTATTCATTGATTAGTGTCCATAACACAAGGTACTCAATGTGTTTATAATATAAAATGGTTTCATATGGTATATGCAGGGAATAGGAGTGCCATCTATGAGCAAAATCTTCAGCACTGAGTATTCCTATCTTCCTTCCGTATAAAATACCGAGTTGGTAGTTTTATTTTTAGAATAAAAATGGGTTCAAATGGCACCATTTTGTGCATTACTAACATAAAACCATGTATCACATAAATTTTCTAAAGGGGCCGATCTATTTGACAGCTTTTTTTTAATGCTGTCTGTCACTATTAAATTAAAAGAGCATCAAAACTACAGCCGGGATCCATCAAATTTTCAAATAATTCTGCTTATTTGGTATAGAACATAAATTCGGTTTTTAGAGTTTGTTTGGGCGTGTGTCTATTATAAATATAATTAAACGTCAATCTACTAAAATTCGTGATTAATTTCCACAAGAATTATTCGTAATTCAAATACTCTTTAATACAATGATCTACAGTTCTAGATAGTATTTGTGACCCTGACCCTGATTTGGTGAAGAAAAATACTCGCTCAGAAATTAATATACTTCTATAATGTTATCGTATCAGTCAGGTTGGGATTTTACATAGTTATAATAATTTTTTTGGCAAATTAATTAGTTAAACATTTATTAGATATTTTTTTTTGTGGTTGAAGATATCTCTGAAAATCAAAAAAAAAAAATTTTACAGAGAAAAACTTTATCATTACTCAGATATTCCCGCTATCCTGGACACGCATTCAACGGGTGTTCAGTACAGCAAACGCGGTTCCTGATATAAACGATCTTACAATCACTATACTTATGATTGTTAAGTAACTAAATAAATGATCAATTTTAATATCTTATATAGATACATTTTACAAGCCAATAAATTTATTTTATATAATTTTTCAACGGAAGCACATAAAGAAAATTTGAAATAAATTGAATGTTTGATATATATATGTGTGTATTAAATTTTTATTCCATTGCAGCCACATTGTAATTCCGACAATCAATGCGCCTTCAAGTTTCAGGAGCATCAAAAACGTATCGCAGATTTTGATGAATTAGATAGGGTCTAGTTGAACGGGGTAAAGTGGTCCTGCGTCCATTTGAAACATACTCTGCTGCTTCATTTATAATTTTTTAATCCAAAATCGAAAAACATTTTATAAGAAATTATTAGTTGTATAATTTAATAAATTTTTTTAAATATGGAATGGAAAATCATAGCAATGCACCTTGTGGCAAATCTTAAGAATTCTAAATATTTCCTAAAATGATTCCTTAGCAGGTAAAGCATGATCAACAGAAGGCAGCCTTGGAGGGAATTCTTTCTAATCATTCAGAACAAAATTATGGAAATTTAAAATTTTAATACTCATATTTTTCTATAGAATTACTGAAAATAAAAAAAAAATTTCCCTAAAATAAAGATTACATTGTTCTAACTGAAAAAATTCTATTGGATATTTATCGATTGATAGAAAATATGGAGGGAATAGAAACTACCAATAGAATAAATAGCCTTTAACTAATAATGTATGCGTCGTCTTTTAAATAATGTTAAAATAAATTCTCATTATAAAATTAGGGAACAATATCAAACATTGGTCAAACACTAGAGAGGCAAAATATAGGTATTATAAAATTTCTAAGAAATTTTTTGACCCCCTTTATAAAGTATTTGGAAAATGAAATATTTTATTATACTTAAATGGAAAATAACCTAACAATTAACATGCTGGTTTGATACTCTTTAATGTGCGGTTCCATCATAAATATAATAATAAATAAATAAACAAAATATTCGCTCAGTAGAGAACCAGGTGATTGATAGTCGGCGGAAGGTAAGGTTTGCAGGTTAATCGGAATTTCATATAAAGATTAGAAATCTAAAATAGAGTTCTATAATATTCCATATTTGGAGCAGAAAATAACTAGCATTATTATTTAGCTATTTAAATTCTGTTATGGCATGTTATTTTGACGTTGTAATATACTTTATCTTGGACTAATTAATAAGCCAACCACAACCATCTATATAATATCTAGAAAGCAAAAAAAACATCTTCATATAAATCTATTGTATAATAATGGATTGAATAAATTTTCATATATAAACCCTATAGTTTATCAGGTTATTTATTTTTTCCTTGATGATAAGATCCAAATTAGATTTGTATTCTATTAGGTTCAGTGCAGAGTGTATGTAAAGTTTGGGCGTAATGGGTCTTATATATTATACGAAATATAGAGCATTATAGTTTATTATGTGAAGATCGACATTTTATTGGGTCTTATAGAAAACAGAATAAAACCACTTGATTCAACTTGCCCCAACGATGATCCGCGAAACAAAGAGGTAGGGGGCAAATAGGTTAAAATAAAAAACGCTAAACCTTTTTTTGGAGAAAAAAAAAATATAATAATAGTACATATTTATAGGTAAAGGTTTTAAGGAATTGATTGGCATTTTTACAAGAAATGTCAATATTCATTATTTTTGGGAGCTATGATGATTTTAACAAAATTTTCGCCGACCAACCCTCTAACATTAAATTATTTTCAAAGACAAAGATACCTTTCTATCAACTTATATACATCAGGAGAACACTTCTATATGTCACTTTGATAGCTGACAGCCGTTAATTAACTAAATTCGAAAGAATCTAGCGACTCTATCCCCAACGCGAATTTGCCTATTCTCCTCATAAATATCATTTTAAACTAATAAAAAAAAAATTTCCTCCTACACACCCATCCCACCCTCCCTCCTTGCCCAAATAAAATGTGTACAATATATGATTGTAAGGAAGAATTTGACAAAAAAAAATTAGGTAAAGACTATAATTCCAAATTCAATCAATAAGTATAGACCTAAAGATCTCTAATAAAAGTTAATAAAAAAATTCATTCTTACATGCAGCCCTCTTATCCCCCCCCCTACCCCCTTCACCACTTTTAGCAAAAATCATGAGTACCCATACGAATCAGCTAAATCTGGCGACAGAAATTTTTAACGGTTGCCTGCCGGGTTTAGGGTATATGAAATAATTGTTAAGGAATATCCGTTATAACGGTTTTGATTGCGGGGTTTATGGAAAATATGAAATGATTCATGTTCATAAAATAAATCGCAAATATCAAGCATAGACAAACATTTTTAATAATAGAAAAATTATGTAAGCATACCTTTTGTTTCCCGGCATCGAATTATGGAAGAACAGGCTAAAGTGACAACGATGATTACCTGAGTGTCATTATTGTATAATATTGAGAAAAAAATATAATCATTTTATTTAATATATAATAAATATAAAAACCAGTAGAAATCGAGAAATAATTTGCAGCATTTTATATAAAAAATTCGACCCAGACAGAATTTTTAACGAATATAATTATATTCTTGAAATAAATGTCATAAATTTATATTTAAAAAAATTTTAAAATTTATATTGTATTAAATAAATGTCCTTTGTTTGACACAAAGGTTAATTAATCATTTTTACAATAATTTTTTTTTTCTTTATTTCTTTTTTGTCATTTGCTTTGGAAAGTATTTACTAAAAAATGTTTTCTAAGGATTTAAATCTTGACCTAAAGATAAGGAATATAGATACAGATACAGATTATTTATGAAAAGAAAATGAATCTTGGATACAGATACTACTAGTATCTTATTAAAAATGTCAAAAAGATAACCGAGTACAAGATACAAAAAGATCTTGTATCTCTAGATACCTCTAAAAATCGCTGAAGAGGTCCAACAGCTCAGGATGCAGGATTCTGAAATCACTGGCCACTGTAGAATTACTATTATAGAATTCTACAATGTTACTGATTTATTTAAGGAGATTTTTCAATTTTTACTATATATTTTTTTAAAATTTATTTCATTTGTTTAAATTAGATTTGTTGAATAAAAATAGAAATTTTATTTTTGCCATTTAACGACGACTGGTCCGATATCGGCTTGTTTATTCTTTAAACTATTTTTTTAAATATCAAAATTGCCAGCTGATCTATTGTAGTGTGACAATTTATAACCGAACCAAAACTTTTAAGGAATAATCACAATATTTATTAAATATAATTCTCAAAAGGTTTTGTTGGTTGTTTTGTTAAGGATATCGGTTACAACACTAAATAAAAATAAATATATTTAATGAAATAATAGAAAAAAATCAGTGTTAAAATTTTTAGCTTTCATAATTTTGCTCTGAATAATGTGAGATCAACTCCCTAATTTATGCAAAGGTTTCCAAGCTGTATCTTATAATAATTATCCTTTACCCCCTTTGCTAAGGATTTATTTTAGGGAAATATTCACAGAGTTTCTAAAGATTGCCACAAAGTGGCATTGACTATGATTTTCCATTCCATATTTTAAATTTATAAATTATAAATAATAATTTTCTTATAAATTGTTTTTGATTGGATAAAAATAAATGAAGCATCATATATGTTACAAATGTGTTACATCTGAATATTTATTATTGTATAGGTTAAGATATATTTTAAAAGGTCACGTTATATATTTTAAAAGGAGGTTATTTGTATATTATATTATAACTTTTCGACATGTAATATTATATTATCTTAATCAAATTGCATATTATTAGAAGTTAAATTGGATAAATATATAAATGTACATATACAAAAGAATTACAAACAAAATTCATTATCTGGAGTCCCTATAAGTTTCATCAAAATCTACGTTACGTATTCAATGCTCACGAATTACGAGGTTATTAATTTTCGGAAATTACAATGTGGTTGAAATAGAATAAAAATTCTATGTAACAATTTTTTTTTTTATTGCATAACACATAATGTATATTTCGAACATTTATATTTATTTTTAAATTTCCCCTTGGTTCGTTGGTAAATTATATAAAAGAAATTTAGAAAGAATATTATAAATTTATTGGCTTATAAAATGTGTAAATTAATCCTTTATTTAGTCTCTTAACAATTATAAAAATAAGTGATTGTAAATTTTATTGATCGTTTATATCAGGAACCTTCAATGGGTGCTGAGAATAGCGGGGAGTGGGTGCATTATAATTTAAAAAATGCTAAGGTTTTTTTTCGAATTTCTGAAAAAATGTAACAAATTTATTGTTTAAATTTTTAAAAGTGTTTACCACCTTAAAAATTTTATAACTATATAAATCCCAACGCGACTGAGAGACGAAATTTTTTTTTTAATTTTGCCAATGTCACAATTCAAATTTTTTTATAGAATAGTCTTATTTTGATATATATAAATATAAATATAATATAAGTGAATATGTTATGGAGTAAAATTAATAATATATAATATGTGAATATAATATGTATTTATTGGGATTATATACCATTATAAAAGTTTGGTATTTTAATAAAATTTATACGATATAGGGAAACATTACATACGAATTGACTAATTCTTCTTATCATACAAATGAATATATATTACTTTTGAAAATGATAATTCCTTTTTTCAAGCAATTACCAAATAAATTTATGAAAAAATATAAGAGGTTTATTATTATATATTATTAAAATATTCCGTTAACTAAGAAGATTTTAAGCTCGTTTTATTCTTATTAGCTAAAACATTAAATAAAATGCTATAAATTATTAAATAGGAATACAGAATTATTTCAAAACCTGGCACACAACGTTATCTTTAAAAAAAAATATTATTATAATTAAAACTGGGATAAAATCATAAAATTATTCTGCAAAATTTATTAATATGTATGTTTATAAAGGGCTCCTATTTATTTCTCTGCTTATTTATTCGAAATTATTTTTTAAAAAAAATTTTTTTCAACAAAAATAAATAATAAATGATTGTTTGTATTTTATAAATTTTACCAGAGTTGTTAAAGGATCTAGATACATCTAGATATTAAAATATGATATCTGTATTTAGATAGATTTTTGATTAAAATAGCTGTATCTAGATATTATTTTAGACGATGTATCTGTATCTAGATCCATTTAAAAAGTATCTTTTATCAAAAATGGATCTTTTTTTCGATATTCGGTTTTTTTCTCCGAATCCGTTTACCAAATTCTTTAAAAAAACGTTGAGCTTTGCTACCTAAGGTGGTGAGAATGGAACAGACGATGGGTATACTTTATAGTTTTTCGAGATTCTGCGAGGGCGGTGGCATGGACGTTATGGTTAGATAGTGCATTTAGGTCAACATAGGTGAAGTCCCAAACCAGGAGGACCTTGACCAAGGAATTAAGGACATTCCTTCAGGACGTTACCTTGGCTTTTAAAGTAGTAGTAATTAATCTCAGATTATTTGAGTAAATTTCATCAAGATAGTATTTTTACAAAGAATTTATGAAATCGATAAAGTGCTTTTTTATGGCATCTTCCAAATGACTAAACCATACACCTATTTCAATGAAGCTTCACTAAATTAACTTAATTTTTATAATAATAAACTTATAAATATAGGTAAATAAAAATTTTATTCACTTAAATTAAACCGTTTTTAAGTGAATGTGAATTATAAAACATTTATTCACATCTTTAAAATCCACTTTTAATTTATTTTTTCAAATTTAAAAATAATTAATCTGTAATTTATAATTTAAATACCAATACTATCTTTTAAAAATATTCTATAACTTTAGATATGTAATTCCTGACCTATGTTCTAGCAACTATAACGATTTATATTACAACGTATTATAAAAATTAAATCCTGATCAAAATGATATTATCTCCGCTAACAAACACCATTATGAAAATATAAAATTAACAAAATTGCTACTATTAGTTTTTCAAAATCGAATAATGATACAATCTAAAAAATAAAATCAAATATAAAGTATACTCAGAGGAGTTGAAATGTTGACTGAAGTTATAACTAATTGGGTATCGTATTTTACAAAATTCTAAATATAATATAACAAGTATATTTATAATAAATTTAAAATCATTTAAACCTGTAGAAAATGTTTTAGCCGTTTTTAAAATAATTGACAAAATCAATTTTTTTTTATACAGCAACCGTACTGATTTATCATAAAACACTTTCTCTATTATTCTTATTTTTCAGGCGCATAGCGATATTATATCAATTTTATAATTTATTTTTGTATCATGTAATAAAAAAATACAATTATGAAGCAAAAAAAGTTTATAAAATACCACACCCTTATAAAAAAATTATTTATAATATAGGTAATTATTATAAAATTTGAGTAATAAGCATTAATCAAATAAATATTATAATTATGATAAGAAGGTACGCGTAATAACCCAAGAGAGTAACTCAGTCACGATTATCATATTCTTACTGTTCTCTATTTCTGACATGCTATGCTATAAAGTGCAATACCATTTTTCGTAATATTAAGGGCCTTGTCATTGTAATAAATTATTAGGGTTAAGTTTGAACTCATTTGATCAATAATTGCCTTAGATATTAGTTTATATAAAAGTTTTAAAAGAAAAATGATTATGATTTTATGATTAATTCTTAATAAAAAAAAAAGATTAATTTATTCCTAATAATTTTATATAATTGAATTAATAATGCATGGCTTTCACAAATTGATGTTTCCCTAAGACAATTCTATATTCTGAGGCAGTATTGATGTCTATAAGCATTAAAGACCAAATAGCAGATTTTATTGACTTTTATTACCATCTTAATTTATTTTTAAAATTTGATATATAAAGAATGTAGAAAGTGAGGTAATATTAAAATACTATTACAAAAATTATCTTAACGCATTTTATAAAATATTTAAAATATTATTTTGTTGAACTGTGCTATAAAATATTGGAAGAGAAATGAATCTCTTACTAAACAGGATTTATAAAATATTATAATAGATTTAAAAAGTCATATATTTATAAAAGTAGCTTAGTGAATACAAATTAATTAATCTTTTCTCGCGCATCTAATTAGTAAAAATTGATTGAATTACATCTTAGCTTCTTTTGGATATTTTAGAATTCCTTGCTTGCTTACTAAATATAGATGTGATTTTAAAGAATATATAAACAGTGGGGAGTTAGTATGACAATGCCAAACTTATTATTTTATGCTGCCACTCAAGGCAAGGAGGAGACGTTCTCGGCTTGGGTCATCAGCGTAGCACATATAGAATACAAATTCAATGGCATTCAGCGCATTATTGAGAAAATGAGGGTTGCTTCGAATTCCAAAGATGTCAGGAAAGCGGTCAGGAGCTCTATAACTATAGAAGACATTTACAATCAAGGTCTAGAGGAAGACACCACAGAGCCAATTAACATCAAAGGCGTAATGAAATTTGAAGCCATACATTTGACTGAATCACCTGGAATACAAGAGGTTAATCACATGGGCAGAGTAAAAATAGTTACGTAACAACAAAACCCATTCAGGACTCTCACGCACATAATAAATC